TGCTGGTTTTTCTAATATAACCTGATGCCTCATTAGAATACTGTGATGCATAATGTCAATATTTTGGTGCCATTTGATACTGCAATAAAGATGCTCTGGAAAACAATGTATACCAAAATAAAAATAAAAATATAATACAGCTTCTGGAGGCACAACTGCTTTTCTTTGGGGAGTTTCCTCCTCACTCCATGTGATTATGGGGAAATTGCCAATTACAATCAATGCTCCACCCACCTCAGAATGAACAGAATGGCACTTAAACCTAGCCGGACCAATCATAGTATCCACTGTGCTGGCATGGCTTTGGTTCAGGGTTGAGCAGGGCCCTAACAAAGCCAGCCAGGGTCTTCTCTGGGATTGGTATATGACTTTTCACGGAAAGGTCTCATGCTACTGGCTTACTAAGCTGGAATGCTGAGACCTAGCATATAAAGAAGAGGATAGCAAAGAAGAACTTAGCAGTAGGAGAGAATGAGTTCAACAAACCCACAGAAACACTAAAAATATTGCATGATCTCTTGGATCCAGCAATGCTGAACTACATTCTTAGTTTCATAATGAAAATATATCCTTGTTTTTGCTTAAGTTTGTCCAAGTTGGATTTCTGTCATTTATCATCAAAAGAACCCTAAAAAATAGAGTCTTCATGCTTTCTTGGCATATATATATTTAAAAAATAACTACATTGTGTTCACACAATGTTGTTTCTATTTTAAAAAAGACAGAAGGCACAGTATCTACCCTTAATGACTGTACATTCTATGTGGGGGGGTGGAAGTAAGACTTACAAATGCCAGAACTTCATCTCTTTGCCTAAGTATTAATAGTAAGTTCTTTGAGAGTTAGAACTGGGTTTCTACTTCCCTATCCCAATTCCACATGCACACTTGTTCCAATGACTGGCACATGTTTAATAAATAATTGTTGAGTGGCTAAGCAGATGGCACCTGCTATTATTTTTTGTTAGAACTTTCATGAACTAGTTCTGTGCACTCTGTTTTTCTCATTTCCTTTCCCTAATGTACAATACCACTGACCTTTGCAAAACTAATTATATTATTCACTAACACAGACACAGACTCTGTAAACTCAGAATTGTTCATCGTAATAGAATACACAACAGTCCGCAGAATGGAGAACCTATTTTATAAAAACTATTTGAAATTTCCTAAATTCATTTAAAATCATAAAGCATGGTAACATTCCATTTGATCTATGCCAGTAGCTTTGTTAAACTCACTAAAATATAGTAAAAATATAAAATATTCAAACAAAACATGATTGAATTTGTATTGTCTATCATATTACTTTCCTTATTTAAAGTAGACCTTGCTTGGAAAAAAAATCAAATGTAAGACTGTATTTTGATAAATAAATGAAAACTACAGGACAAACAGGGAATAGCCAGTATTTGGAAAGAGCAGATGGGAAATTTCTGATTAAGTTATTTCTGCTTCTGAACAGGAATTCTGGTTACAGAATCTGTCACAGATATGCTGACTTCCAATATGTTAAGCTAAATAGAATTTCAACTCTCTTTACTGCAGTAGCAAAAAATACTCACAAGATAAATAAAAGATTTACCTCTTACTATTTTCTTCTAGTCTTGTGTTGATCTGAAGACCTCAAGGTTTGTTTTTTTTCCCCCTAGACTACTTCCCCCACACCATCCCCCTCCTTTTCTCAGATTCTTGTTTGAATATTCTTTGGTAATGCACACCACGACTGTGAAAATACACCAGCTTAAAACCCTACCTGGGCCCAGAAAAACAACCAAGTTCTTGTGCTGTGGCATTAGCAATCCCGAACAAATGAGAATGAGCTTAATGTTGGGAGTCTATTCCTGGCTGCAGCAGCTTTTCCTGGTTCCAGATAGAGTCTCTGTGGCCAAATGAAGTTTACTAGACAAAATCACTCTCTAAATGGTCATCTTGGACACTGATCATCAATATACATGGCCAGAATGGCTGGATAAACTATTGATTAAGATCCAGGAGGGGAAGGGCTGACAACAGGGTTTTGACTACGGTAAGCAACAATTAAGAACAATTTACATGGTGGTCTATAATGAAAACTACACATTTGGGCTTTTTCTTGCAGAAGCTGTTCTCCTAAAAAGTCTGTCTTTTGGCCAGGCATCTTTATTTGTACCTGCTTTGCTCTGTGGAAGTCCTGTCAAATTCTTGGCGCCTTCACAAAGATTCAGGAAAGTCCTAAACATCAGAAAACTAATCTGAATCATTCCTTTTCTGAGAAAATTGTGATAACCATTTCTCCAGAGATTATAAAATCATAGCATGTTACTAGAAAAGGGGACATTAAAAAAAATCATCTAACCCCGTCCATTTATTGAAACTGAGGCACTTTGAAAAGTTAAGGGACTTTCATGATTCAAGTAGAGTCCACTTGACCAGTCATAGTAACCATGACTGTGGTTACTAAATTGGCAATACGATAATCAAAGGAGCAGGAAAAATCATGGAATTTCTCTTTATATTTATGTGCATCATCCTATTATAAGCAGGACTATTTTTGAATGTCTAATAAGAATGACTAATTATGATTTTTATGACCATAAACGAATGACTTTCACAAATGTATTTTGTAATATATATGATACATTTAAATCAACTCCCTGGCATTTCTTTATCCTTCTCTCTTGCTTTGCCCTCCCTACACAGCAGTTATTATGTTACATACTATATCTTTCACATATTTATTTTGTTTATAGTCTGTCTCCCCCCCACCCATTATAATGTAAGTTCCATGAGGGCAAGAAACCACTGGCCCTACATGGGGAGCTACATGGACTGTAAACCAAACCACGATGAAAGACACAATTATTCCCTCTTCTCTTCTCATTGCCCATGACTTATTCTAGAAGTTTATCAGGAATATTCCAAGAGCACTGACAAATCACTTGCTACATGATCTTAGGGAAATCATGCCACTTTTCTATGCCTCAGTTTTATAATTAAAAAAACAAAGGGATTGGACAAGATAATTGTTACAGGTCCATTCCAGGTTTAATATTCATTCTCTGATATATCCCTCCTTCCTAGAATGGCAAATTTTTAAATTAATATATTAGTACTACTGTATATGATGTACAAATAAATATACATATGTCATCTGTGGATTAAGAACTTCTTACTGTTACAGGCATATTATTAGTAAAGTTTGAAGGCAATTTTTAAGTTTGTGGCAATTTTTAAAAATTTTAAGTCTGTCAGGGAATTGATTAAGACAAGGATGAGGTAGGATACTAATTAAGGAGTGTACTGAAGTGCAGCCTCTTCTGCACAATGACAACTATAACTCATCTAGAGAAGGACTTTTCATTCTAGAGATTTGCTTGAGTGGCCTATTTTAGTTGAGTCAAAATAGGACAAGTAGGCAAGCAGTACCTTAGGTTTAGAGTAAAACAGGAACTATGGTTACTAAATCCAGGGCTTATACTACCTTAGATAACTAGTTAAAAACAGACAAACAAAAAGCTACCCAAATGTGAGTACCTTTTGGGAGTGAAGGGACAAATTTCTGCTTCTGGAATTGAACTTTAGGAAGAGCTGGAAAGATAGTCAGAAATTGCCCCAAACAAGGCTTGATATCAGGGAAGAGCAATGGGTTCCTTCCAGTAATATTTTCTGATAAATAGCAGACTCTAGCCAAATGACTCTGATCCAAAAAGTCTAGATATTGAAGGTGGAGCAGAGGTTGCTGGTTATGGTACACTTTGTCCTTAAGGCCAGATGTTCTACAGGATGCAGCCACACTCACTGGTTCTGTGTTTTGATGTTATGCTTTGGAGAGCAATAACTGAGCAGTGTATTTGACCTAAACTTGCTGCTGTGTAGGTTTCTGGGCCTGGCATTTTCCACAGAGTCAGTAGATACCCACAGGATTAAGCAGGAGTTAGCTTCAAAAGCAACACTATATGATAGGGAGAAACAATAGCCTTGGCCAACTAAACAAAATCCAGTCTTGTCTATGCCTGGCATTAGAAAAGGATAAATTTTCTCTGTGATTGAGTAAGTCCTTAAGACATCTGGACAATTTGAAGTTGGGATGAAGCAATAGGGTGTGAAGGGTGGAGGTGTGTGAGAGTTATTCCCATGATCAAATGGCAAAAAAAAAAAAAAATGAAATGTGGCAATAATTATTCTCTGTGTGTTTAGGGATTATCTATAGTTACATAATCTTTGTTTTCACCTGTGAACATTCAGAATCACATTAGAGGTAATTTCCCATTATCTTTGTCTCAGAAACTATCAATACTTGAGAAAGGCAAGTGAGTAGACAAAGCCTGAATTTCAAAATAAGGAAGTAGGAAATTAAAGCATATTGTTATCTCTGACAGTTCTCATCTGCATTGTCTGAGTGTCTGCATCTTCTCACTACTGTCTCTACCACGGTGAATAGGTCATAGGGGTTAAATGTATGAGCTATCCTGTTCTGTAATAGTATCAACCGCCAAGGTAATTTTACAGATAAAATAGAAAGAAAACAGAATGCAGTAAGGGTCATATATCTCAAAAGAACCATAGCAGATGACACATATTGAGAATGTATTGCCTGAAAACATTGCCTGTATTGCACTCTTTTTCTTCTAAATAATACCTAGTCTAAATTAATTTGCTCTTTACAGTGTTGCATTGAATTGCCCTAAGGAAGAAATGAGAGATAAACTTACTCTTTTGTTTTACTTGTAGGTCAAGGCTGTTGCATAAGCATAGTCACGCTGCATTACAAGTGTGGAAATCTCTGATGTAAGATGTGGATCAGGTACTTACATGGCACAGCCCATCAGCTGGCTTTTAAGACACCAAATACAGCTCAGAGTGAAAGGTTACTCAGCTTCTTACACTCAGTCATAGACCCTGAGCACTTTTAGGGAAATAAGGGCTAAACTGAGTGAGGACAAAAGGCATATTTCCCCCTCAAAGCTAGCACTAAGTCTACATTCACAAAACCGTGGGTTAGCCATTGGTAGCACTTACATCTTGGTTAGACATTTCCCAGTAAGGTCTCTCTCCATAGGACATGACCTCCCACATGACAATGCCATAGCTCCACGCGTCACTTGCCGAGGAGAATTTTCTGTAGGCAATTGCTTCGGGGGCTGTCCACCGTATGGGGATTTTCCCACCCTGGAAAAGAAATTGCAGATATCTTAGCTAGCTCACAAGTGTATTGTAAAACAAAATGGTATTCCAATTAAATATCTTTGTTAGAAAGATCTAAATGTTTCATAATAGCATTGGCATTTTAAATTAAAATCAAAAGAAAACCAGAATAGTTTTAAAATGTCAGAAGTAGTTTTTCTCTAATAGTTATTCAGTGAAAACAGCTTTAATGGGAAATAAGTCACACTTCAGAAATATTTTATTTCATTCATTAGAGAAATTTATTTTTACTTTAGATTCACACAATTAAACCCACTATTATGCCATTTGAAGAAAGTTCCAGATTATAGGACATTAAAACTAAATATAATTCAACATTCATTAAACACTGTATTGCATTTATAAATAATAATTAGAATAAGCTCTAACTTAATTGAAGACAAGTGGTTAAATACAGAATTGAAACATTCAGTGCTTTCCAGAATTTATTTCTGTTCCTTTTTTCTCTTTTCATCTGCTATGATTATATTTATCTTAAATGAAAACCTTCTTTAATAGTATACAAGAGCACCTTAGAAGGATAATCTTTCTTGCAAACACTATAAGCTAGTTTATATTTTTGTTCTTCAGTGCTCAAGTTAACATATTAATATATTAAAGAGATTAAAATGCATGAATTTAATCTATAACGTTCAAGTGTTAAAGCCTGTCATTGTGTTACACTTAAATTTTATTAACATTTATCACATTTTATCTGTTGAAACACTCTATAAATCCCTTTTTACTGTAATGACAAGAATAAAACAATTCATCCATTTGATTTACAATCTTTAAAATCTTTGCAGCTCGGAACTGCGAGCGGAGCGGAGAGAGCAACCCTCTCGCCGCTAGATGGCGGAAGAGAACAAGGAGCGGCTCCCCGGTGGCCGCTCTCAAACCGCGGAGATGCCTTAAGCTCACTGCAAAATCATTTCCCACAATCAGAGCCCAGCACGATGGGATTGTTTCCACATTTATCAGCATTTTCATGATCACATCATCTGATCACCCGCCGTGCGCAAAGTCTGATGTTAGGGCGAGTGGAAATGGAAAGAAATAAAAAGTGCGTTCTTTGGCCCTTGAGAAACTCAGGTTAAGTATCTTTAAAGGTGAAGCTATTAATGGAGTAATCTAAATATTACTTATTTAGTAATTGAAACACTACTTACCTGAAGAGAAAAAGGATTCCTCCGAAATGGAAACAATTTAGATTTCACAAGGCAAATGAGAGCATTAACGGAACTCTCATCTCAGACTCATAGCATGGCGTTGTTAGACCGAACCGTGGGGAAAACTAGGTTCTGATCCCCTGGTTTTACAAGTGAGCAATTTGAGCCCAGGGTTTAGAGATTTAAAGAATTAGAGATTCCTCACCACATTATTAGGCATCTAATGTTTGCATTATGGGGCACTGATATAAAAATGTAGATACTTCACCATAGGGGAAAAGTTGGGTAAAATCTTAATGTTTTAACACGGAATATCTGTAACCATATGTCAAAGCAGCATAAATTGGAAGGGAGCCTGAAGCCTGAGGTTTTCATGCCTTGGAGCAGAGGATAAACGCAGCACCAAATTAATACTAGGAAATTAGATTTATGAAGTTGTTAATAGTTGCTTAAGAGGGTGTTGGTGGACAGGGAGTTGCAAGGGAGAGGATTCATTCTTGGACCCAAAGTAGACCTGTGAGATAAAATGTGGGATTTATAGTTAAATTTGAGTTTCAGATAAATAATAATTTTTTCATATAACTATGTCCCATGAAGGATTTTTTTGGTCTAAGTATGTCCCAAATATTGAATAAGACATTTTTATACTAAAAAAATGTCATTCTTATCTGTAATTCAAATTTAACTGGATACCTTATATCTTTATTAGCAACCCTAATCCAAAGCATTAAAAAATCTCAGAAACGGGAACATTGCAAATGACTCAACTGAACATGTCATGTTCTAAAAAAATGGTGTGGTCTTCACAAGGGGGTACAGATACCCCTACTTGAATTTGTGCACCAATACTACAGCTTCCTTTTTTTTTTTGTATGTTTATGCTAAAGTGCCCTCAGTCTTGTGGCTCTGCATATTAAAGCCACTTATGTAAGATTTTGGTTTGTTTCAAATATGGAAGCTACACTTCCAGAGAATAAAGACCAAATTTCTAGATTTGACCCCAGAATAGAAGTAAGAACAGCAGTCTCATCTGGCATTTCTGACTCTGAATCCTTCCTTTTCTGGCAAACAATATATAAAAGTGTGAGTTGCTAGTCTTCTTTGCTGTTCTTTTGCTAAATATTTGTGAGTTCTATTAAGATAGGTCAGACAGCAGAGTTATTGCTTATTTTATATTCATTTACTCATTCACTTATAAATGATATCTAATATAAATGATTCACATGCTAATTTATATATAAATTGTAACTTTATCACCTTCCTTCATGAAAATTTATTTTTTCTTCAAGGGGAAGATATTAGAATATTTGACTGATTAATAGCACCACTACCTGTTGTACAATCAATTGTTACCCCCAAATTCATATTTTGAAGCCCTAACACCCAGTGTAACTATATTTCCAGATAGAGTCTTTAAAAAGGTAGGTAGAATTAAAAGAAGTCATAAGGATATAGCCCTAATCCAAAGACTGGTGCCCTTATCAGAAGATGAAGAGACATCAAAGGCAAGCGAGGAGAGAGAAAAGGTCATTTGAGGACATTCTCAAGAAGATGGTCATCTGTAAGCTAAAGAAGAGACCTCTGGAGAAGCCAAATGCAGCAGCACCTTGATCTTGGACTTCCAGCCCCTAAAACGGTGAGAAATAAGCTTCTGTTGTTTAAGCCACCCATTCCGTGTTATTTTGTTATGCAACCCTAGTAGACTAATACACTACTCAATAAAAAAACAAAAACAAATGAACATTACAAAATAGATAATACATCTTTATTTCAAATTATATTCCAAGAACTGTCTTTAATGGAAAGTGTGAGCTAGCATCAATCTTAAAATACGAGAAAATTGGACAGAAGTTTAACATAGGAAATACAATCCTAATGAACAAAAATATATAACCATGAACCTGAACCACATTCCAATATGCACAAATGGGAATAATTCTGAGCATATATGGGATAGAGATAAGGAAGCATGCAATTTCTTTTTCCAGTGACAGGATATATACTGGATATAGTTTATATCTAATTGCAAGATGAGGCAGAAAGGAAGAGGCCCTTAAGACTATTGCATTGACTCTATTCCCTACATTAGAGGAAACGTAAAAGGCTAGTTCTTTTTTTTTTTTTTTCTTTTTAATTGAATGAACCAACTGAAACTTTTGTGGCTTAATCTCATCTGCATGTTTTTGCCCATGATCTTGAATCATAGACAAAGGTAATACACTAAGGTACTTTTTTCCTCAAAGCATTAACCACCAGATGTTTGTTTCAGGTTTCAGGAATGAACAAATAGTGTTTTTAGATTTGAAATCACAATCATTGGAACATTACATGTTGCTTTACCATATGTTTATGAGAGAGAAAAAACATTACTGAAGATGCTAATTAAAATGACTGAATGTAACTCAAAAACCTTCCAATTTACTAATACCTCTCTTACAGAGCAAGCTTAAAAAAAAGAAACAGGAAGTAAGCAAACTAGATTGCTACTGAAATGACTATTAGTAAGTCTTTTTTGTTTTTCCTGTTTTTCAAGTCATATTCAGAGATTGTTGCCTAATAAGGAAGTAGTAGGTTGTAGCTGCAGAAGTGCTGAAGAGAGAACCGAGAGTACTGTATACTTATACATTCTCTTATACCCCATATCCCTGGAGTGCAGTTGCATTATTGGTGCATTAGAACCTAACCCTCTAATCTTCAGAGGAGTGACCAATCAATTGAAATGTTGTAAGGTTACAGAGGCTGAATACTGAAACCAAATGGAAAAATTCCATAGAGAAGCAAGAACACTTAAAAAGTGTCTCTCCATTTCTCATTCACTGGATTTGATAGTTATCTTAAAGGTAAATGGTTTGAATACACAATATCTGCCTGCAGAATTTCCTTTTCTTATGTCCTCAATCTATCTCTGTAGTACTCAAACTTTAATGAGTATAAAAATTATGCTACATAAAACATATATAGTATGCTTAAAGAATAATTTAAGAATTTTCTATGGGCAGTTTTGACTTAAACAACACTTTTTTTTTTTTGATGAACTGCAAATTCTAAATGAGAAGCAACTCTACCATAATTCATTGTGTGAATAAGTCTTAACCCTTACCCCTTGGGTAAGTCTTAACCCTAGTGGTATTAGATTTCAGATCTGCAAAATGAAAGGATTTGAATTAATGACCATAACATAGTAAACTGTAATGAGTTTTGGTACTTGCCCACAGTGCCTCAGCTCCCATTCAATTGTAAGGAGTTGGTGCCTAGACTATGTGAGCAGACTGCTCGATGGCCAACGGAAAAAGAGACAAGCACACTGTGAGGTTACTTATATGCTAGGCCAATGATTGATGGTCACAGTGATCATCCTGGATGGTAAGCAAGAGGCAAAGTAACTTAAATACTGTTTGTTTAAGAAGGCAACAAAATGAATAATTCATTTTAGAAAGGCATGGAACCAAGACACTAACTTTTTCCTCCCTTTTTGTTTTTTAACTCTTAATGGGTAACCGTTGCTTGTTTGGAAAACTCATTATATGGAGCCTTCCTGATGTCAGATGAAGAAGGCATTTATGTGCTTGCTGAAGGATGCCCTTATATTTTTATTTCTTGTCGGTGGGTTTATCTGTGGCAGAGGTGGTCTTGCTTAAGGAGCATTGGTGGAGGGGTTGGTGTTCTGGGCCCTTCTGCCTTAATTCACTGTGGAGTCCCAGGAAGTCAGAGCAAATCACAGAAAGATCTCACATACATTAGTTATACAGACAAACCTCACTAGGGAGATATTCTTCTCTCTCTTTAGAATCATTTATCTTGAGAAATAAATCTATT